AGAAGAATAAAGAAATAGGCGCGAACACGATAGTAGTTATAGGACTGGACTATCGGGATCGCGTAGGCATGGGCCTGAGAGCTATCATCTTACAGAGAAGTATCGTTACCTGTCGCTAGGTCCTACTCGGTAGGATTCTTAACAGGATCACTCTCTTTAGACCTGTACCTTGGAGGAAGATGAGAGGAGACTTCCAATCATAACTGATGGCTCCCCATACCATGAAGGATGCACATCTACTATGAAAACTGTGTTGCATACAATGGTCATAGTAGTGATTAGTTAGAAGTCTAGTGATCCAAACACTCCCTTTCTGTGACATGTCAAAAATATACTTGACAGAAAACATATACTTTTACCACTACTCAATTGACTTACTAGTATATATATGTTCATCAGTATAAGCTTTATACTTCTGCAGATTCTTCCAATTGATGAAAGGCTTTTTACAAGCCTTGCAGTGAGAGTAACCCTCCTTCTGCAAAGCTTGCTTAATTATTGTTAAAGAGGAACTTATTCTTGTCTTCTACTCCAACTTGCACTAGCAGAATCATTGCCCCTCCCAGCCATTTCAGAGATAAAAGATTAGATATCATATATTACACTCTGAAAGGCACTTAGGGTACCCAGGATGGAGGTACTAATAGTGAGGCTGCTTCATCTTGTTCTAATTGCTTATGGGTTATTGTAGAACTCCAGTCTGTTGAGAAATTTTAGACTAAGATAATCCAGTGTCTAGTAAAGTGAGGACTCTGGTTTGCATAGGGATATGCCATTCACCCAAGGATTGTTTCATGGTGGAGTAGTTGTCATTTTTGCCTAACAAGGAGTACCAATATTGTGATTGTGATGTGAGATTTCTACCAGTGATTTTTGTCGCCAGCCTCGTACCAAAGCCTACCCCGTTGTCCCGTGTAACCCGCTACCCCGGTTATGGCCCGGATGCCTTGGGTTTGGTTCGGGTGGCTCTGGTTGAACATGGAGCCGGCTTACCTCAGGGACCTAATGCCGTAGGGGCGCTAAAACCGGTCCGGCGATGCTTGCCCTTTACGTACTTATAGCAACAAAACTTTATTGAATGTCCCGGATGGATTCTTCATATTTTAGCTGGATTTCGACCATCCGGGACAGCGAGGTGCGGTTGTAGATCAAACAGCAAATGCCCCTAGTAATTGACCCGGTAGTAGAATAGCTGATCCGTGGTCTTTGCTACCGACTTGTAGACGCAATGTTTTGCCTTATTTTATACCGCAGGCTAGTATGGGCCACAGTCCCTGGCTCCGGGCACTGGCATATTCCCACCCTAGTACAATACCGGTACAGGATTCTCAATATTCCCGTTGCCCCCCCACCGGGCAACCGCCTTCCAGTTTCCCGTACCAATCCTTTCCGTCACCATCCTCTCCCCGATACCGCCACACCGATTCTTACAAATTGCACGAACCTGCAATACCATGAGGTGGGTGCGATGGGAATCAGTTGGGCCAAGAACTGGGACTTACGCTTTCACAAAGATTGGCTCTATGGGAAGGGGTTAGGTTTTCCAATTAAATCCATCCACTACATCCTTGTGGCTAATTGTGCGACTATTTAGGGACAAGAGGACCATTTAAGTGGGTTGCGGCACCAATTTTTGCTACTGCATGTCCCAATCAAGCTGCCAGAACCGTCAACTCCCTGTCAACTCGTCCACCAGTACGGAGCCATATTCGGCCGTGGAACGCAAGATTAGAGGTAAAGTTGCCGCGGTTGAGGTGAGGTTAGGAGCGAAGATATCGGAGGTTTGTCCAAGGCTTGCCGGGCAGGTTGGTGGTCAGCATGATAGGACTAAGGAGTTTATCTACGGCGAGCCAATCAGAGACTAACAGTCAGGGTCGCGTGGTACACAATCCTTCTATTACTTCCAATTCAAGTGACGATTACTGTGATAGTGGGACCGGACTGCTGCAATGGATCAACATCTTTTCAATCTAGGAAAGGAATATTTCCTGCTTATGCTTGGTCTAGTTTACAGTCTCCTAAATTAAGTGA